GAATGGTGAGTGGGTAGGAAAGGGCATAGACATTAAAAAGAAAGCAATTTTACAGCTTCTGAATAATAGTACCATTTAACCTGTCCTAATGAATAGGTATTCATAACAACGACCTCATAGGATCAGCCATGTCTCAGGAGAGAGTCCATTAAGAATGTCAGCAATTCATTTCAGTTTGGTTGTTAATTAGTGTAGCCGCCCCTGTCATCAAAAACATATGAACTGGTGTATAAATAGGACATAATTCACAATCTTTATAGAAAATACCATGTCATGCATGTATAAAGATTTTTCATCTTGTCTGAAGCTTTGATCTCTTTGCCGAAGGTTATATCATCTCCTCGTCCCATCCCCCATCCCAATTCAATAGCTAATCTCCCCAAAAAGGCAAGGGACAGAAGATGAGAGAAAGTGAGGAAGGAAGAATGACTAGCTGGAAAGGACCTTAGAGATCTAGAACAATTCTCTACCCATTTAACAGATGATAAAATTGAGATTGCGTGAATATGGAAAAGGCAAATGGATTTTATTGAAACTGATTTAAATTTTGCCCCCTCCATTTAATGTGTGTTCCATCTATACCCAGACTTCAGGATTGTTTTTTTGTTTTTGTTTTTTAAAGATCTATTTATTTATGCATACAAGAGCTGGGGGAGAGAGGCCAGAGATGCTGGGAGAGAGACAGAGTGGGGAACAGAACAGGCAGACTGACTGAAATACACTGCTGAGGGGAGCAGCAGGCGAGACAGAAGAGGTCTGCCTCGCCATGTGGGTTTCTCCCTGGCTGGCCAGGGATCGAACTCATGCTGCATCGGGGATCGAATTCATGCTACAGAGGCTGTGGATTGCTTCATAGTGCGGTGCTTAACCCCTTGCACCACCAGGGAGGCCCTTCAGGATTGTTTTGAGGGTTAAATGGAACGGGGAATGTGAAAGCTCCTACTACAGTAGGAGCTCAAAGACTGGAAGTCTAAAGAGGCAACAAAATTAATCTCCCTGTTGCTTCCCTAGGATTCTCTGAAGGGAGGAACATTAATTACAACCAAAACCTCTGTTCATACAAAAGGGTGCTGGGGGCAAAGGGAAGCAACCGAGGAAGGCAGTAAGTGGCTAACAAAACCGCAGCTACCATCTGTTCTTTGCTTTCTTTCTGGGCGTCTCTAAGTCGACAACAAGTTAACTCCAAGAATGCTCACTCACTCTCACTCACTGTTTCAGCCAGCTGGGCGGGTGCTGGAAGGCACCAAGGGATCACTGGGAGGGCAGTGGCTCCTTCCCTAGCTCTCCAGGGCTGGGGATGCAGTGACTACCCAGCTGGGCATGAAACACCTTTCATTCTCCTCCACCCACACCAGTCATCTTTCGGGCAGAAAATATCAGGCCAGCATTTGCACACATGCCAAAGGAAGCAATAAAAGGGTTCTTGCAAGATTAAAAGGATGTGGTTTTTAAACACACACACCATGAAGAGTCCCTTTCCCCGCACCCCTCCTGCTATTGGGGGTACTTTCCATTTCTCAGGAATTCCCACACTCACCACCACCCCCAGCCTCTGTCAGGGCAGAGTGGCCACACTCCTGGAGTGGAACCCGTCTCTCCTGCCTGCCGGGCTGCCTCTTACCCAGCCCAGGTCTTCCCCACACTGTGGAATGGCTCTCCCAGCAGCTAAAGCTAAATGACGAAACTGGCTCACAAAGTTACAGCGATCCCAGCGACAGCTATGAAACAGCTCAGAAGGGGCTGGGTTTGCAGCGCTTCCTTTCCTCCAGGGAGCTGCATTTTTCTAAGATTATTATTCCTTGGGCTGACTGCTCAGCTACTCAGCGTCATTTCCCCTCTGGGTGGGAAAGTTTTCTCCTTCTGCATTGATTTCCAATATGACAAAACCTCCCACTCCTACCCCTCACCTGTAGATCTCACAAGGAAAGCACAGCCTATGGATGGCAAAATCATGCATGGTATATGAACTTTAGCATTCAGAAAGGCTCAGAAGCCCCAATTCGTAAAAAAGAAACACTGGAAAAAAAGAAAACCTCAAGGAAGCATCCTCTCTATCTCTACTGGCTGAAACCCCAGCAATAAACTTCAGCTAAACAGCCAGCAGGGTGATAGGTGAGCACAAAAGCTAAACAATGGCCTACACAAAGAGGGGGGCAAAGAGAGGAGGCAGCCGGCTGTCCAGGACTGGCCGCCTAATGCAGCAAACAACCCACAGACCACATGTAATTGAAGTTACTCAACAGTGAAGAACTTGAGCTCTGCCAAAAGGAGGAAAAGGACTAGCAATAGCACCAGGGATGGAGAGGACATCTCTGGTTCTTGCCGCTGACATCCATGTATTTTGAAACCTAATGCTGGAGGACCAGATGCTGACCACCAGCATCTGCAAAAGGGCTGCATTTGCCAACAAGCAAATGAAGCCCATTATTTGTAAGACTTGGGCTCATTACGAGCAGAGTGAGCATCTCCCAAAACACAAAATGTTGATGCAGAACTGGATGGTCATCTGTTAGAGGGGCTAAGAGGGCAGACATGAGGCACAGTATGGACCACATGGCTTCTGGAGGTCCTTTTAGCATTGCGATTTTGCTGCCTTGGGAATTAGCTGCTGTACCTAATACATGGTGATCAATCAAGAGTCCAAAGAAAACCCTCAGAGGGTGTTAGGAAACTCAGACTTGTTAAAATCACTTAAGACTGAATTTCTTGTTCATTGTTTTTTTTAATCCCCCAAGAGACATTATTGGAGCCACCACCAGAAAATAAGCACAGTTCATACCTGGATCCCGAGCCATGTTAGTAGCTCCTAGCAGTTTTCAATGGGCAGTCAATTTCACCTCTTCTAATCTCACCTTTCTAATCTCCCTCCTAAGGTGCAGTCTTAGCTCAGCACAGGAGTAGGTATTCCTTAGGCAGTCTTTGTGAGGGCCCAAGGGAGACCCTCTTAGGGAAGAGAAGCTTTGGACACTCCTCCCTACCTGCTCTCTGGAACTTTCCTGGCATTCTTCTAGTGCCTCAGCACCTGAAGCCTCCACAGCTCTCACCTCCCCAAAATGAATCAAACTGAAAGATTGCAAAGCCAAGTTTAGCAATGTTACCTGCTACACCAGGGAGAAAATGTGGGTCACTTACAGTGGAGGGAACCTGACTAGGCAAAGAAAATCAGCTCCAGTTCTTCCCTGCTGAGTTCCCTAAGCCAAATGCCTCCCTGAGCCAGCACCCCTCCCTGTAACATAGTTCTCTGCCATCTGTGGGGATTCCCAGCCACAAGAGAAGGAAAGATATCTACCAGCCTCATCCATCCAGGGTTCCTGAGTGCAGTATCCTTCCACCCACCCACTAACAAGACTGGGGCACCGCAGCTAAGAAAGCTGACGACCAGCCAGAGAAGCTCCCTTTTGTTCCTGGGCGTCTCCTCTGAAATGGCCTCAAGCCCAGGCACCCCACTCTCTATTTAGAAAGCTCACAGCCACACAGGTACTCCTTGATAAGAGAAAGTCAGGAAGTATTCACTTTTATGTTCTAGATTCCTTTTATGTTCTAGAGTCCTTTCTGAGGAACTTAAAACAATGTAAGTCATCTAATTCAGAGTCACTGTGGGTGTGTCTTCTTTCTCCTCTCCCTCTCCTCGCTATTTCCCAATCTGGGACCAGTGATTTAGAAATTCACAAGAATGAGGCATTTTGTAATAATGAATTACTACGGAATATGGAGTTGAGTTTTTACTGGGGGACCTGACTTTTTTTTTTTTTTTTAATTTTTTCTTATTCAATCAGAAGAAGCATCCCTAGGTTCAACGAAGCAAGCTAATTCACATACTAGAACAACGTTGGTGTAATATGAGAAACAAATGAATTGTCAATTTGACAGATGCAATTTTCTCAACCTTCACTCAACCTCCAAATCAATACCTAGTGGTGCAAACAATCTTGCTTCTCCAGGATAAGCCCCAGAGAGTGCACGCCTTGTGTCACTCACAGGAAGGCAATGGCTACCATCACCACATTGCTGACTTTGTTCAAAGCACTTTCCATCTATTTTTACTTTCATTTTGTCACATCATCACTAGGAAGCTAGAACTAACAGGGGCTATTACTTCCATTTCATAGATGAAGAAACTGAGGTCACAGGAGGTGACATTCCCAAGAGATCACACTGGTATTTGGTATTATGGTGGGAATTCCACTTGATCCTCAGCATTTCTCCCAGCCCCAAAGAAGGAAACTGAGTAAAAGGTGGGAAGCAGGTGAGAGCCCACCCGCCCCTCCATAGCGACAGGCAGAGGCTCTGCATGGAGCAGTAGCTCCCTGGGAAAAGAAAGGGAAAGCAAAGTCTCAGGCACAGTCCTGTGTCTGCATTTGCCTAGCAGGGATGGATCTTAGAATCCACCACTGCACCCCAAGCCCCCAGCCCCTCAGCTCTGAGGGTGAGCCCAGGAGTATTTTGTTTCCAGCGACATCCTTTGTCTTAACACTACTCTTAGTCCCAGAACTCTTTAAAAATCTGGTATTTGTGTTTGAAAATCAGAGCTCTGTACCTGGAGGGGCCACTTCTGTGCCTCTAGGCACTGGAGGGGAGGGGAGGCAAAGAAAGGAATTGAAGAAAGGACTGGCCGGATGTTATCAGCTCGAGGTAAGAGGGGAGCTCTGAAAGATCTTCTTCTCTCTTCTTAAAGAGTTCACTGCACGTGAGTGTGGGCGGGGGGTGTGGGGGTGCGGCCACCCCATGTGAGATAACTTTTCTCCCAAGGGTGAGGGGGCTGAACAAGATGGTCACACCCCCCAGTGCAGCCACCGGAGAAAGCACCTAAGAAATCAGGTCCCCCCACCCCCACCCGCTGCCCTTCCCCTCCGCCCACCCTCAGGCTCCCACCCGCGCGGGCCGGCGGAGTCCCCACCCGGCCAACCGCGCCGAGGGGCCTAGGGCTGGGGATGCAGGGGGGGCGCGCTCACGCCCCCAGCCGGGGCTCGCCGGGCGCCTTCCTCCCGGCTCTCACTCACCCGCGCTCCTGCCTCGGGGGACCCGGCCCGAGGGTCCCCGCCGCGTCGCGGCGCCCGGCGCGGGGGCCAGCTGGCTGGGGTCAGGGGGCGCGGGCCCGCGGCGCTCCCGGGGCGGCTTGGGCGGCGGCTGCAGCTCGCGCTCCGGGCCGGGCTCCGGGGGCCGCGCCAGCGGGGTGCCCGCCAGGGGTGCCCGGCTCGGCGCGCGGCGGGCCAAGGGGGGCGGCTGGCCCCGCGTCCCGGGGGGGGCCGGCAGCAGCAGCAGCAGCAGCAGCAGAAGCGGCGGCGGCCACCGTGCGGCGCGCGGCAAGGCCATGGTGGCGGCGCCCGCTGGTGCTCACATGCCCGGCGCGCGCGGGGCGCGGGGGGCGCGGGGCGCGGGGCCGAGGGACGCGGGCGGCGGGTGCCGCGCGGGGCCGGGGAAGTGAGCGAAGTGAGGCTGCGAGGGGAGTCCCCGCCTCAAAAGTTGTGGGTCGCCGCGGGAGGGCGGCCGGGGGCCGGGCGGGCGCGGGGAGGCGGCCCCGGCGCCGCTCCATGCTAATTAGCCCGGGCGGGTCGCGGGGCGGGCGGCTCCTCCTCGGGGTGACATCAGCGGCCGAGGGCGGCCGGGCCCGGCGGGGAGCGGGCAGGAAGGGGGCGGGGGCCGGCCTGGGGCTGGGGAGTGAAGTGCACAGAGGCAGGACGCACGGGACGGACACACGCACACGCACACACCATTAGTATTGTTTGGCCATTTGGAGAAAAATGAAAGAAACCGAGTCTTCCGAATCAGGCACAAGAATTTTCCAACTCCTTAAACGCACAGTGAAAGGGAGGAAAGCTGATACTGGGCAACGTGATTAGCATTAACCACTTTCTAGAAAGTGCCTATAGACTGTTCCCCTGCACCCCACCCTGGCGTGGTCGCTTGTCCCTGCTAAATGCTGACAGCCCGCCTTCCCCCACTACTCCAGGCCCCGGGGCCCGGGCTGAGTTTGCTGTTGCCAAGTCTAAAGCCTCACCCTCTGGCCAATGCAAAGTCATTTTATTCTCCCCCTCACCGCCCACCACCCTCCCGCGTGCTCTCCAGCCTGGATTCCATCCCCATCACCATCACTGCCTTTGGCTCACACCAGAGTTCTGTAGAAGTGTCACCATCAGGACACCCTAACAGGCCCCAGGGAAAAGAAAACTGAATTCAGGCGTGGTGGGGGCAAATTCATAATCAGGAGAAAGTCTGCAGATGGCAAATTAAACAGAAGGAGGCATAGAGATTACTGAATTTTAAATGGAAACCTTCAGGGGAGAGATTCAAAGATTTAGAGGAAACAAATTTTCTTGGTAAAGCTCCCTTTGTGTCCTCTCCCTTCCCAGTAAATAAGCAATAAAATGTCTTAATTTAGGACTGCGACCCTCTTCATTTCTAGGTGAAGAGAGAAGGGCTCAAATAGTAAAATAACTTGCTCAAAATTCTAAAGATTTTTGACCCAAGGATTAAGAGATTTATTTGTGAATGGCCATGTGACATCATTAATTCCCATCCCCTTATTTAGAATTTGCAATAATCCAATGTCTCAACTAAAATGAAGATGGGAGCTCCTTAAGGAACTTTAGGAGCCCCGGTCTGACCACCAGATTTAGATGTTCAGGAAAAACTGAGTATGGATTTAACTTTTGGGCTTTGTCTCCACCCCACTTCTCTGCTCCTTTCTGTTGCTGTCACCACAGGGGATGAGCAGATCATGGTATGCAGGAAGCTGTAGATGGACCCTATGATCACTCAGTCCAAGTCACTGACAGAAAGCACCAATGTTCTGTAGAAACAAGCTCCCCTTAAATAAGAGTGTGAAGAGTAACTTTGGTTTTATTTTATTTTGCTTTTAAAGAACGATAAAACAAATCCAACTTTCCAGGGCTCTCACATGGAATTTCCAGATCTTTCCAAGAAAATACATATAATAACCACCCCCCCCATAAGTAAGAGTTTGTTCTCATGGTCCCAGCTCAACCTCTTCAGATCTTCCTCTCATATTAATAGGGAGGACTGCCCAGCTGCCCAGATTTAGCCAGACAAACCCCAATAAGCCAAGAAACTGTGCTCAGAAGTATGATCACTAACACGGCTTCCCTTAACAGAGTACATTTCACATAGTGCTAGTTATGCTCCCAGACAATGAGTAAGGTTTAAGGGTTTAAATGCCCTCACATTCTGGATCCTCCTGGAGAATCTGCCTTCACTACCAACATCAATAGAACAAGACCCCAGCACACATGTCCCTTCCAATAGTTTGTCTTTAAGAGAAACATCCAAGTCCAAGGTAACTATCAGCTGGGTAGAGCTTAACCTGTGGGTTAAGAGAGAGAGACACAGATGGGACATGGAAAGATCAAGCACGGTGAAGATGGACCTTAACACTTTTGCTTCTCCTCCTAGGACTGAACAAGGCAGGAAGAGCCTTGGAAAGAGTAGCCAGTTTTGGTTTTAGAGCCCTTGCTTCTTAACCTGACTATACAACTGTTGAAATGTGTGATCTTAGCTTCAGCTTCCTCATCCATAAAATGAAGATTGCCCTAGATGATTGGAAAGAAGGGCTCCATCTCTGATGGTCTTGGGTTGATAAAGACCTTCCAAGAAAAGCAAGGATGTATGAAACAAGTGTCTAAAGACATGTGTGGTGTTTCCTGCCCAGAGATAGAAAAGTCCAGACAAGATTTTTGGTCATCTCAGATAGCTCAGAAGAGGCCTTATCTGGAGGCAGGGGATAAATGAAATAATGTCTCCAATCCACTCCAGCCCTACCTGTCTTCTGATCTAAAACAATACAGGAGGGAAAAGCCAGATCAGACCAAATTCCAGGCTGAGAGAGTTAGAAGTCAGGCATTCCTAACCTGGGAGCGAGGGCATCCAAAGTGACAATAAACTCTGCATTGGGGCCACTGGTCTCCACAATCCTATATTGCAGGTAGTTAGAGCTTTTGCATAGGCTTTCCTATTCCTCCTTGTGTTAGTAGATTAGGTTTAAGCTAGGCCACAGCTACAAATAGCCCCCCCAATGCCTGCCATCTTCTAATGGATGGCTTCCAAAGCTGTCCTTGTAATTGACATATCAATCAATGTGCACATGGGGATTCTGATGGGCCATCACTAGAGCTTGGGGCAGGTATCACTTCCTCTACATTCCACCAGAAAGAACATGGTCACCTGGCTCATCAAACTGTAGAGGAGGCTGGGAAATAGTCTAGTTATGAGGGCAGAGAAAGAGAGAGGAGTTTGGGGAGAAGGCTCTGCCCTACTGCTCCCCAATAGGGCAGGGAAAGGAAAGGGAGGGTAAAGGAGGGTCACCATTCTGGCCTCAGTTTCCTCCTTTGTAAAACAAAGGTGTTGAATCAGGAGCTCTCTCAGGGTTCATCTGCTTTAACATTCTGTAGATCTAGTTGGTGATGAAAAGTCCTTCTGCAGCAAAGTAACAAGACTCTTGCTGCAGCATGTCCTCGGCCTTGGAGTCCTCCTCTGCCAAATGGTTGGCCAGTGGAACCCGTTCTGTTCCTGAGCTGTTCTCACTCCTCGGCCAAGTCAAGAGATCTCTATTGACCCCAGTCTCCCCAACTGTACAGTGGGGAGATAAATCATTACCTTTTGCTGCCTCCTGGGGTTGGTCTGACGATATGATGAAATCACAGTCCGGAAGGCCCCAGGAGCACTTTTGACTGAAGTGCTCTACACAGTGTTCTTTTTGTAAGCAGAGCCTTTAATAACACTGCACTCTAAAGAGGCCTGAAGTGTGCCCAGTCTGAGGACAGTGCCCCAGCAGGATTTGTGGTCATGTGGGGTAGCACTGTCATTGCTAGGCATGAAGGGTACTGCTTAACAGTAACACCCCTAGACTCTGGTGACTAGGGTCCCCAAGGGTTGAGAGATCAGTCAATAGACAAGGGGATTGAGCTTCACCTGGGGGTGTTGACCTGGATCAGGCATGACTGTCTCTCCTAGGGAGTCTGACTTGCTCCTTTGCTATGTGTTCAGCATCCTGTTATACCCTGAGTCTGTTTACTCTCCTTTCATCTGCTTGGCCCCTCTCACCTCCACCCTATGAACTGATTTCTGGAACACTCTTGTGCCTCATTCATCTTTATATCCCCAGAACCCATCATACTACCTTCATTATTTTATTTAGTCATTTAACAGATATTTACTGGGTGACTACTCTGTGCCTGGCACTACACTGGGTGTTGGGCCAATCTCAAACTTCATAGAACTTAAAGGTTTGGAGGAAACAGACAGTAATCAAAAGAACGTGAAGTAAATTTGTCTCTTGTGGAAAGGGCCCTGAAGGAGAGCACTTGGAAAGGGAGTTGGAGATTGAGTCACAATCTGCAAGGTCATTAAAGTGTAAGCTGTTAATCAGGCTGAGGAGAGTGGTAGAGTATGTGCAAAGTCCCTGTGGCAGGAGGAATTGGGATAAATGTAAAGGACCAGAAGAAAGCCAACGTGGCTAGAGCACAGAGAATAAAGGAAGGTATAGAGAGAAGAAAATCTGGAGTCTTTGATAGCAAGCATCTTAACCATTAGCAGTTCTGGAAGCTGAAAGTCCAAAATCAAGGGTCAGTAGGGCTATACTCCCTCCGAAGGCTGTAGGAGAGAATTCTTCCGTGCCGCTTCCAAGTGCTGAGTGGTGGCCAAGAAGACTCCGTGGCCCTTGACTTGCAGGCACATCACTGCAGGCTCTACCACCACTGTCACACGGCCTTCTTACAAGGACACCAGGCACTGGGTTGATGGCTCGCTATAATGCACTTTTGTAATAGTGCAATTCCCATAGAAAGGGAAGGTTGCGCGTTTCCTGCCTCACCCAAGGAAGGGTGTGGCTGAACAGTGAGGAGAAGCTAGAAAAGAGTGGGGAAAGGACTGGGAGAAAGGAAGGAAGGAGAAGATTTGAAGGAGGCACAAGGAACAGAGAGACACGTAAAGAAGGGTGCTTGCTTCTTGTACCAGGGACTTGGGGGACATGGAAGGAGAAAGTTGAAAGAGATATGGGTAAGAGTCTTAGGGGGGAGGATGACAGTGACAGCCTTTTCTTGACTTGTATTTTGATTTTGCTCTTTTCCTTTCAGACTTGCTGGCCCCTTTGACCCACAGTTCCCCACCAGAAGGTGCCTTAGACCTGTGCTCAGCTTTTGGGCCTTGGTAGCCCTGCTTTGGGCCAACCCTGTTTAGCTGGGCATTTACCCACCAGGGGATGGGTAACTTTGGGTGCTTCATTTGGAAATTATATTCTTTCTTCTCTTCTATTTTTTTAAAAAGATTTATTTTATTTATTTATGCATTCAAGAGCTGGG